ACTTGCCCATTTCTTTATTGGTTCATTAGTTTTGGGAGAATTTAGTTTTTTAAGTTCCCTATATATCCTGGTTATCAGTCCTTTGTCTGATGTATAACCAAAGGAATTTAAATCAACATGCAAGAGAGATCCCTGCATACTCATACTTACTGCAGCTCTCTTCACAATAGCCAAACTGTGTCAGTCAATGTGCCCAACGAAAGAATAAAGAAAACACACACACACACACACATATATATACACAATAGAATATTGCCTAGTCATAAAGAAAAGTGAAATTATGTCATTTGCAAGAAAATAGATGAAACCAGAGTTCATCGTGCCAAGCAAGATAAGCCAAGCTCAAAAGTCCAAGTATCACATGTTCTCACTCATTTGTGGAACCTAGACCTAACAATAATAATAATAATGGGACATGAATGGCAGACTGTCTACGAAGATGTCAGCGGCAGGGGCGGGGGAGTTAGGAAAGGATACTGAGGAGTGAAGGGATCAAAGTACACTACATATATACATTTGAAGACAGTATAATGAAACCCACCAAACACTGTTTGAAAAAGGGGAAAAGGTGAACAGAACGATAAGGGAGGGTGAAAATTTTCCAAGTACACTATACATGTTAAGAATTATTATAATGAAACCCCCTCATGTTATTAGTATATGATAATTCAAAAACAAAATAAAATCTAAAATAACATATTTTTAAATAAATGTTCACTGTAGAATGGCTAAATTGAGCCATTCAGTAATTCATATACTTACCTTCATTGCAATGAGAACATTTAAAATCTATTCTCTAAGCAATGTTCAAGAGTACCACACCTTGTTACCAACTGTAGTCACCATGGTTCGCCTGTTCAACTAAAATTTGTATCCTTTAACCAACATTCTCCGACTTCCCAGGCCCCAGTGCCACCTCTGCTAACCATAGTTCTAATCTCTACCTTCTATGTGAGAGACTGCTTAGATTCCACATTTCAGTGAAATTAAGCAGATTTTTTGCCTAGTTTATCTAACTTAACATAATGTCAGACAAGGATTAACTACTGTAAAGATACAAAACTATATTAATTAGACATAAAATTGTATTTGACTAAGCAGAAATGGAGAAATGAAAACAATATTGTTCTTGAGACAAAGTTAAAACTGGCAGGTTATCTAAAAATTTTTTTTCTTAATCAGGTGCCTGCTATTCTAAACCAAAGAATCAATTGTGAAGGATAAATGTGGGAAGTTTTCAATGTTCTTTTCTTATTTTATAATTCTCTTTGCCTAGGAACCCTAATTCACCACCATTCATGTCATACAAATCTCTTCACAATACTTAAAGAAAAATTTGTAAGTTACTTGCTCTCTTCCTGATTGCCCAGTTTTTAATGTATATTTCTTCACTGGATGACTAAAATAAAGGATTTTTTAGATGCTCAAATCAAAATGCATCAGAAAGGTATTAGTGTATTTCACAATTTTTGAGCATTTATAAATGATTTCCTCCTCCAGAGATTCCCAAGTGTCAGCAATAACCTTTTTTAAGTATAAAATCAATAAATTTTATTACTTACAAATGACCCCACCTGTCTTCCAAAAGTGATTATTTATAAGGCAGCTCTGTTTTAAAGTTATGCTACAATTTAAGAAAATACTGATGGGTGGTTTCTTTCAGGCACATTTTTAGTTCATAAATGTACATTGGCCTTTTTCTTGGATTGTCCACAATTATCAGCGAACATTTGTAAAGATCAAATTTTAAAAGGATGAAAGTAATGAAGAGACATTGAAAACTGTTCTCTCCTCTGCCCACATGTGGCAGAATGTGACACAGGACAGGAAATCATGTAATGTTAGAAAAAGGAGAGGGCATTTGTACAGATGAGAGTCACCTACTTCTAAAGAGGAAAGGTAAATAGTTCAGGAGTGTAAATAAAACCCAGGCATTTCACTTCTGGGGATCATTTTGCAAAAAATAAAGATTTTTTTACTATTCTCTTCTTTCAAAATAAAAGAAAATCTCATGCAAACCTTGAACTCTTACTACAAACACATTTCATCTTCCTTCTTCCCTGCATGTCTTCTTTCTTTTATTTTCATTGGTTCACATATGCCTCACATAAATTTATAATCTTAAATAAAGATTTGTCAACCCATATAAGTCTTAAATGTTATTTTGTCATCTCTTTCCTTTTTAGCTTGGTACATTTTTTAAAACACCATCTGAAATTACCTTGCTCTTCTACATATTACGATGATTTTCTTTTACCCCGCTCCCTTTTCCTACCACATAATCTCTCTCCTGTCAAGGAGTCTGCAGTATGAATCTTTCCATATTTTTCTCTTGTTAGAATAACATACACAACAAAGGTCTGTATATACATATATGGGCTTCTCCATTTAAAATTAGGTAAAACTCAGCAGGAAGCCTCACATGTCAGTTTTCAATTTGTGACCTTGAATTGCCTTTTCACTATCTTCCAGGTTAATTTATTTACCAAAATGTATAGCCATCTTCTTGGTCAATTTTGGTATATTCTCCTTTGCTAACAAATTACCCATTTCTTTTACTCTCAAGTGACTTACCCAGTAGTAATTTAGTCTAATAGGCTTAACCTAATGGTTTCTAATAATTATTTTAGTCTTTTCTGTGAACTTTTTTTATCATTTATAGGAGATTTTTATACCTCTTATATCTCATATCTTTTATATCTTTTATGTCTCTTATATTTGATTAGTCAAATGAACACATAGGTTTTTTTTAGTATCTGTATTATTGCTTATAAGATTTTTTTCATTTATTTTGGCCTTTATCCAAGTTAGTTAAAAGCAATGACTATTTTAGAAAAATAAAACTTCACATATGTACACAAGTATGTGTATAATCAAGATTGTCACCTCAGAATGCATGAATAAAGTCAGTATTAGTAGGGTAACATAGATTGCATTTCACCAAAATATAGATATATACTTATGCAAACTACTAATCAATGAATCTCTAATAAATTTATATGTATATGTTCTTTTATAATTGTTTCTATTACAAAGTTATACTTTAATATCAATCATTTTAGATTAAAAGAAACAAACTTAAATATAAAAATAAACATTTTTCTGAAGACAAAGTAATTTACAATTGTCAACATGCATAGCTTTTTTCAAGATCAAGCATGTATTAACTGATTCTCAATTATGGATTTTGAAATGCAAACAACTTAGAGTCACTTTCTATTTTTTTCTCATTACACTATAGCATAACGTAGAATAAATAGCTATTTACTTTAAAATAAAATGAAGAAATCCATTAGTTGCAATTCATGTTAACATGCTTTCTATACCTACTGAATATACAAGATCTGTCATTATTAAATCTTTACCATTCTAAGAGCAATGGGGATAACAAGATGGTTTTATTCTCATTATATAATAGACAAAAATGATTAAAAGATGAATAAGTTTAGGAAGAACCAGCAAAATATTAAAATAGCACAAGAACAAACAAAACATAATTTAAAATTTTAGTATGAAATGAAGGAATAAATATTCTTGGAAATTTATCACTTACCTACAAGCTCTTGAGAATCAAAGCAAAACTTTCACATGAGAGGGAAAAAGGAAAAGAAAATAGCCATTAATTCTTAGAATGAGTGTTGAGCACAATCAACTTTCCAAAATGAAAAACCTGGAGTTTCTAAGAAACTACAATTACAAACTCTTATTATCTGTAGGCTAGATGAAACATCCTATTATTCTAGACTATAATTGAAACTACCCTTACAACCAAATTACTTCTTAAAGAGCCTGCAGAATTTTCATGACAGGACTTGAAGTATGCAGATAAGATGATCTACCAGGAATTCCATACTTTAGTCAACATGAGACCTGAGGCATCACTTCTAGTGATTGGCCTCCCTGGTCAGCAACCTCTCAGAGCATGTGCAGTAGAGATATCTAAGAAATACCAAGAGGTGAATATACTACACTGTGTTTTAGAGAAAGAAAACTAATTTCTGATCTAGCCACTCCTGGCAATCCTATAAAGCAATTATTATGCAGCTTGGTTTAAGCTGGCTGGAGAAACCTGGTGTACATTTATTATCAATGTGTAACTAGAAACAACTTTCCTCATAAACTGGTTCTGACTTCAATAATGAACATCTCTTTAAAGCAAAATGGAAGGGAATGAAGGGAGAGGCAAGATGAGAAGAGTAAGAGAAATGGAACAATGTCACAAATCTCTTTGAACCTTGAATTGTGCCTTAACCTTCTCTAGCAAAGACCTAGTCATTAGGACACTAATGAGACTCTCCTCAGAAGCAAGATTAAAGTTTCAGAAAATGGCGTAATGTGAATCATCTCCGAATGAGAAAAAGCTTTCTGCTTAAATAGGAAGCAAAATGATTTTTTAGAAAATTGTAGCACCTTTACTCTTAAATGACTAAGCAAAAAAGATCAAAGTGTAATTTCATGTATGGCAGTTAAAAGCTTAGTTTTGACAAATGTCTGTAGGGCAAACTTTGAAAAGAAATCTAAAGTTAATTCTTCCTTTAATTTTACTGTAGCCCCCTGTTGAGACATTAAGGATTCACATCAGAATGATGTCCTCTTAGAACCTAATTTTAATGTATAATATTTACTTAATTATTTCTAATATTATCTGCAAGAACATTTCCTGGCATACTAATTTCTCATTAATCCTTTTGACACTACTAGGAAGAAAGAAATTTAGAACTCAAAATGTTGCTTCAGGGCTACATATTCTAGTCCATTCATAGTTATCCAAAAGAATTCTCATAGATTCTTTAAAGACTTGAGAGTTCTTGATTTAATGGCTAATTCTTACTTTGCAAATGGCAGATTTTGTTTCAGAGATCACACTGTCTTTCCTATTTAAAAAAAATAAAATCTGTAATCTATTGCTGTTCTGTTATTTTATGATTGATTATGTTACCCAAATGTATTCAGAATTTAGTTCATGTTTTTGCAATCTCAAAAGTTATATACAATGGGAGGTTTTGTTTGGTAATTATTTTTATAAATCTCTCTACTAAAATTTTAAGGTCTCATTATCAAATTGCACAGATTTCCATGATGTGATTTCCAGAGTCCAAATAAAAAGCAACATGCAAAAATTTGAGAGCTGGCACTTTGGTTAAATGTTTCATTGCCAATTATGAAGTTCTAACTAAACAACTTTTCTTTTTTTAAGCCAAGACTTCATCATCATTAAAGATGTTATAGAAATCCGACTCAGAGAGCTTAGAAGCAATTTAGGAAAGCAAATAAAAAAAACCATAAATGAGCAATTTGCATGTTTTTCTCCTCCATTTCACTGTCATGGTGGTGGGAAAATAGACAGTTTATGGATTATGGTGGTTTCATCATTGCTAGTAAAACAACTGACTGACCAAAGTCTCCAGAAAGTTTTATGGTTCATGAAGTTTTAAGTTACAAATTCTAAATTCTCACATCATACATCTTCTACTTTATAGCAGCTGGAACAAAACTCTAGTTCTAAACAATTAGCTCAGAAATTGCTGGCCCCTTTTTGTTTGATTCCATCAGTATCATTCTTGAATGTGAATCCTAACTCTCTAAGCCAATTTCTTGGCCACTTCTCAAAAGAGTTCTAAACATTTGTTCTTTCTTCTTGAACTAATTATGCAATGACAGATATTTCAATAGCATATTAATCACAAATGGGGTTTTGTTGGGTGTTTTTGAGAGACAAAAATTACAGTGAAGGCTAGGAGAAAAATTAAATATCAGATAAACAACTATTTTTTTAAAAAATCAAAGCATGTAAACTGAAGAACATGTCTCAATTTGCTGCTAACTGGTTTATAATTCATGACCCAACAGGGTCAATATAAATAGCTGTTGCTTACATATCAAGAATATATCTAAATTATTGTATTTTCAGTTTTTGTTTTATCTCAAATCCTTTAGATACCCTTACACATATTTCTCTTATTTTTTTCTGATACATTCTTCTCAGATTTTTTTCTGTTTACCCTCTATTGGTTGGTTATTCCTCCCCTAATATCTCCCATTGCTGTTTCTCTGTCTTGGCTATTGAATTCTTTGCCCAGATAGTATATTTTGGTGGGGGGGTGGTTCTGGGAATCAAACTCAGGGACTTATTATCATGGATATTATACTTTAATGAACTTTAATAGCCTTATGTTATCTCTGTGTTAAAAAGCTCAAAGCAATATTTTCTCTTCATACTCCTCCTTGGATTCCAGGCTCTCATATACAATTTCCTGTATGTTTAGATGAATGTCTTAATTAAGTCCCAAACTGAACTCAGTAAACTGTGCTTTCCCAGTGTTTTCTGAACAGCACACACAAATTGCTTAGTGTTACCACACGGGTGATAATAGTAGAAAACAGGGAGTGATCCGGGATTATTTCTTCTTGCTCACAATTCATATTCAATCTCAGCAAATCCCATCATTTCTACCTCAAAACTGTGTCTTGGCTATGCCTACTGTTTTTCTCATCTCCCACCAACTTTGTCAAAGCTCTTTCCAGGCTTACTAAAATGGTTTCTTGCTATTGTCCTTCTGTGTCCTCCAGTGGTCTTTCTCCAATCTGTTGTTACATGGCAGGAGATTAAACACAAATCCATTCAGGTCAGATCTCTTTGTAAAATCTTTTAGTATCTTTCCATTATACTTACTAGTTTTTCTTCCAATTTAGGTACATAAAACATGTTTTTCCTTTTGGCTGAAATGCTGGCCTCCAGATTCTGAATAAAGCTAGTTCTAGCACATCCTTCAAAGCTGTAAATTAAATGTCATTTCGTTAACGAAAACTTTCCTCGCCACTTTGTCAATACAGTTTATTTTCTATCATGTTTCAACTGACGCGAGGAAGGGCACAGACTCTGCCTGAGCTTACTTCTTAGCTTACATCTCTTCCTCCAGTTTGACACTGGAAAACTCAAGACCTAATTGTGCCTCCGTTTCCCTTTCCTCTTTTTAAAATGCAAATAATGCTGTGTATGGTGCTGTGGCTGCAGTCCCAGCACTGTCAATGTGGAGGCAGGAGGAGAATCATGAATTTGAGGCTAACCTAGGATACATGGCAAGACCCTGTCTCAAAATACCAGGGACTGAGACAATAGCTCAGTGATATTTGCCTGCCTATCAAGCAGCATAAGGCTCTGGGTTCAATCCCCAGGACGGCAAAAAGAAAAAAAAGTGCAAGTAACAATAGGCCCTACCTTGTTAGTTTAAATGACTAATCACAGAGAACTGAGTCTGCCACTGTTTTGTCCATACTCTCCATGGTACATACAACTTAAAATACTTATTTGCTAATTTACTCAATTTTATTTTGGTTCATAGTCTGTGTCCTCTAAATGATTAAAAACTTTATTAAGCAGATACATGTATCTTTTTTTATACATCATTGCAAAATCAGTGACACATTGTCTGGCACGCAGTAAATATGCAGTAAATAATTATTGAGTCAAGAAACTAACTTTGAATCGTTTTTCAAGTTCTTTAAGACACAACTAGCTCATTTTCTATTTCCTTTGACTGTAGGAAAATGTGATTCATTTTTGCCAACAATTAACATAGATCTGTATGCATAGATTTATAATATCTATTATGTAACTGCAATCATTTTTAATGCTAAATTCTCTCTTAATAAACAAAAAGCATTTTAGCTCTAAGCCACCAAGTTCATAAGCGCTTTCTTTAGTGTAATACTTGGTCTTTTAAAAGTTTCATTTTTAATATGGGGCCTCTATCATCTTCTATACCATCAGAGATTTTCTGATCTCTCAGAGGGGCCAATAATACAATTTTCCTGAAAAACTCATCAAGCAAAAGTTTTATGCTACTATTGTTACTGTTGAAATTACAATACCTTTCTCTTGACCTCTGCATTCTTGAGCTCTGCAAAACAATGTTTTAGGCTTCAGATTACAAGACAGTTTTACTTTTTGTTTTCTTCTACATTTACTTTGAAGTTTGCCTTTGACCATTTCCTATCCCAAAACAGGTCTCAGGGGTCCCAGCCTTCAAAAGGATCGAACCCTTAGCATTATTTCAATTGGATGACCCTTCTCCCTTTTGAACTGCATGGAAACATTGGCTGTACTCACCCCTGCACATGCCCTGAAAAACATACAGGAAGACTTATTGACATCAGGTCTGCCCAGCATATAACAGAATATGAATATTCTAGTTATTAGCTCCCTTATCTGATAAAGTAGTATATTAGTAGGAGGTGGGTGTCATGTTTAAAAAAAAAGTAGCCCTGAAAATAACTTCCTCCCTTCTCTATAGTCCCTCTTTGCCTCATCTTGTTATAAGATCATGAATCCCAACTCTGAATAGGTAAATTGGTTTTGAGTTGAATAAAACTAAGGGAGAAATGTTTATTTTCAGCACTTTGGTTGTGTTATGTACTTTGGCACAATTAGACATCCATATGAGTAGGCAGTTCACAGTGAAGGAAAGAAAACACATATGATGAACATGCAAATAGGAAAAATACTTATTTTAGTTATTAATACAGAAATGCCTGATGAAGCAATAATGGGATTTCATTTTTTTACCTATTTGACAGAAGAATATTAAGTGATGAGTCCTAGGATGGGCCTAAGTGCGCAATGTTGGCAGAAGTTAAATTGAGGAACCTATTGTAGAGAAAGTTATGGAAATAGTCAGGAAATTTTAAAGTGCATGTATATATTAACCTAAAACTTGTACTTCCAATAATTTAACCATCAAATAAAATGCATATCCATAAGGAAATAACATGGGTTTTGTTTTCCACATCTGGTATCCACCTACACATTTCCCACTTCTCATGACACCCCATGCTCCAGGAATAGCACCTGACGTTCTATAGCCTGAATATCTGTATCCTCTCAAAAATCCATATGTTGAAATGTTAACCCCCCTCCCATGGCGATGTTATTGGGACATGGGACACATAGGAGGTGATTCAGTTATTAAGGTGAAGGCCTCATGAATGAGATCAGTTTTCTCTTCAAAGAGGCTCCAAAGATGTCCCTTGCCCCTGCTATGATATGAGGACATAGCTAGAAGGTGCCATTTATAAAGAAGAAAGTAGCACTCAGCAGGCTCCATATCTGCCAGCGCCTTTATCTTGTACTTCACAGCCTATACAACTCTGAGAAGTACGTTTCGTTGTTTATAAACAACCCCCTTTGTATTTTATTATAACTGCCTGAACAGGATAAAATAATATCTGAAAGTTTAAAATCAGAATATTCTCTCCTCTATCTCCAGCAACTGGTTAAGAGAAGGGTTTTATGAATTAATCAGAACCCAGTACAGTTATTACTATCACTTTTTCCTGAGAAAACAGAAGACAGAGACCTTATTTTTTGTTGGTTCTCCTAAATGAGGCTCTAAGTCTAAGCTTTTGGCAACAATTTTGCCATCTTGAAGGGAGATCTCCAGCCCAATGAAAGAATTAGCCCAGAGAAGTGCAAGCTGAAAGATGGAGAACCACCAGTTACAGATGATATTAACTGAGGCCAAGGAGTCAATTTCACTCAAAGTGTGTTAGACTCCTGCCTTTTTTGAGCAGCAATGGCACATAAATTTCATTTTATGTTTAATCTGTGTTTAATGGGATTTTCTGACATTTTTAAAAAAAGAACCCCAGCTTATTAAAATATGGTGTTTTAGCATAAAAATAGAAAAAGTTATATTTGCAAAAAATTTTAATTATGAGAGCAAACACACTAAAAAGGCCATTAAAGATCAAGAGAGAGCTATAGATAGTTCTATGGATAGACATCCATGATATAAGAAAGTTCTAAAACCAGAAGTATATTATTGTACCATTTAAAAATTAGAAAACATATTTATACATATGTGTCTGTACACCTACATAGTGAATAGTAGGTAGTTATTATTTTCAAGCTTTCTCTTTTAATGGCACTTTTTTTTTATTTTATACTCAGAAATACTGTTTGAGATATTACAATGAACTTATACTTACATTCATAATAAAAGTCTATGCAAAAAAAATAAAGTAGAATTATGGAAATAGTTATTCTTTGGAATCTCATTCAAAGCAAAATCAATTTTCTAGACATGAGCAAGTTAGATCTAAAATCATTTACTCTGTCTCATCCTTCTTATAAATCAATAGTATGTATTGATTTATAACTTTTTGTGATATAAGTTGAAATGAGAAATGAAGAAAGATATGTCAATGCACTGAGGAAAAATCATTTTATTATTTGTTCATATTAATTGCACAAAATAGTGGATTTCATCATGACCTCTTTATACATACCCATAATGTATTTTAATCATATTTACCCTCCCATTACCTTCCTTATCTTCCCTCCCCTCTTTTCTTTTCCTCTTCCCTAGTATTCACCTTCTACTTACATGTCTTCTATTCTAGATTCCACAAATAAGAGGAAAACATGTGATGTTTGTCTGAGTCTGACTTATTTCACTTAACATGATGATCTCAAGTTCAATCCATTTTCCTGCAAAATATATGATTTATTCTTCTTTTGACTGACTAATACGCCTTTCTGTTTTATAAACCACATTATCTTTATGCATTTATCCATCAATGGGTACCTAGGCTGACTCTATAATTTGGCTATTGTGAATAGTTCCATAATAAACATGGGTAAGCAGGTATCTTTATTATATGCTGACTTTGATTCCTTTGAGTTTACAGCTGGGAGCGGTTTAGCAGAATCAAATGGTAGTTCTATTTTTAGGTGTTTTCTTTTTTTGAGAAACTTCCAAACTGATTTCCAAATTTGCTAAACGAGCACACATTTGCACCAACAGTATATAAGAGTTACATTTTCCATGTACCCTCACCAGCATTATTTGCTTTCTTTGATGACAGGCATTCTGACAGGAGTGAGATGGAATTTCACAGCAGTTTTTATTTGCATTTGCCAGATGGCATAACCCGTTGAACATTTGTGTGTATTTATTGGCCATATTTGCTTCTTCTTTTGAAAAGTGTCTGTTCAACTCATTTGCCCATTTGTTAATTGAATTATTCATCCTTTTTGTGTTTAATTTTTTGAATTTGTTATATTTGCTGTATATTAATCCCTTGTCAGAATGAATAAATGATAAAGCTTTTCTCCCATTCTGTAGGCTGTGTCTTCACTCTGTTGTCTCCTACATCATGAAGAAGCTTTTTAGCCTGATACAGTCCCATTTTATCAATTCTTGCTTGCATACCCTGAGCAATTGCCGTCCTAGTCAGAAAGTGTTTACTTTTCCCTCTGGCAATTTCAAAGTTTCAGGTGTTACATTAAGGTCTTTCACCCAATTTGAGTTCATTTTTATATAGGGTGAGAGATAGGAATTTACTTTCAATCTTTTGCATGTGTAGATCCAGGTTTCTCCACACTATTTATTAAAAAAAAAAAAGGCTGTCTATTCTCCAACATATACATTTGGCACTTTTGTCAAGAATAAGATGACTGCAGCTGTATGAGCTAATTTCTGGGTTGTCTATTCTGTTCCGTTGCCCTAAAGTCTCATTTTGTGCCAGTACCATGAGGTTTTTGTTACTATGGTTCTATAGTATTATTTGAAGTCAGGTATTCAGATCACTCTAAAACACATTATATCCAGAACACTCCAGAACACATGAAGAACACAAAACAACAAATTTTGGTGAGGATGTGGGGAAAAAGGGACCTTCATACACTGCTGGTGGGAATGTAAATAAGTACAACCACTATGGAAAACAGTATGGAGACTCCTCAAAAAATTAAAAATAATACTCTGATATGATCCAGCAATACCACTCCTAAGGATATACCTGAAGGAATGTAAGTCAGGATACAGTAAAGACACTTGCACACCGATGTTTATTGCCAAGCTATGGAAACAACCCAGATGCCCTAAAACTGATGACTGGATTAATAAAATGTGAGATATGTATATATCTACATATACACATAGATATCTATCTATAGATAGATTGATTGATTGATTGATATAGATACACAAGAGAGTTTTATTCCATCATAAGGAAAAGTAAAACTATGTGGATTAAAAGTAAATTAATGCAACTGGAGAACATCTTGTTAAGTGAAGTAAGCCAGATTCAGAAAGACAGAGATTGAATGTTTTCTCTCATATGTGAGAAATACACACAATACAAATACACTAAATGGAGGTCCCTGACAGGAAAGGGAGGATAAAAGAAAGAAGTTAAGAAGGTGAATATGGTTGATGTACTTTCTATATGAGAATAAATATAGAATTTTCAAACTGCTGAAATCACCATAAGAAGGGGACTAAGGTAGAAAGGAGAAAAATAAAAGGTGTGAACCAATTCAAGTTATAATACATATATATGTGGAAATGTCACAAGGAAACTCCCTGTAGAGTTATCATAAACAAATAAAAATGGCTTTTTTCAAAAATGGAGAACAGGAAGGTAAAACAGGTCCTGTTTAGGGGGGGTTCATGTCAGTGGGAGGTGGGAGAATATAAGGAAAGAGTGTAGGAGGGTTAATATGGTAGGAATATTATGTACTCATGTATGAAAATGAAATGTTGAAACTATTCCAGAATCTTGGAGAGGGCAGAAAAAGGGAAATGATGGAGAGGGTGAATTCACCTACAAACAGGATCATTTTGACTTCCTCCTTTCCTATTTGAATCCCTTTATTTTTTTTCTATTGCTGTAGTTCTATGGTTAAGGTGCCAAGCACTGTGTTGAAAAAGTGTATATACTTATCTCATTCCTGATTTCAGATGGAATGCCTTCCTTTTTTCTATTCCACATAATGTTGACTATATATTTGTCATGTAGCCTTTATTAAATTGAGTTATAATCATTCTTTTTCCAGTTTTTCAGGTCTCTTACCATGAGGGAATGTAGGATTTTATTCAAGTCATTTTCTGCCTCTGATAAGATGATGTGATTCTTGTCCTTGATTCTATTTAAGTGCCTTTTCACATTTACAAATTTGCATATTTGAACAAAACTTGTACTCAGGTAATG